TCCTTCCTTCCTTCCTTCCTTCCTTCCTTCCTTCCTTCCTTCCTTCCCTTCCTTCCTTCCTTCCTTTCTTCCTTCCTTCCTTCTTCTTTGTTTTTTGGAAACAGAATCTTGCTCTGTCACTGGGCCTGGAGTACCATGGCCTTACCATAGCTCACTGCAATCTCAAACTCAATCTCAGACTCCTGGGCTCAGGTGATTCTCTTACCTCAGCCTCCAAGTAGCTGAGACTACAGATGTGCACCATCATGCCAGGCTAATTTTTTTCTATTTTTAGTAGAGACAAGGGTCTTGCTTAGACTCGTGTTAAACTACTGAGCTCAAGTGATCCTCCTGCCTCAGCTTCCCAGAGTACTCGGATTATTATAACTTCCCAGAGCTACCACACCCAGCCAAGATTTTCTCCTTTGTTTTCTTCCAGACATTTTTTTTTTATTTACTTATTTCAGAATATTATGGGGTTACACATGTTTTGGTTACATAGTCTGATATTGTATACTTTAAGTCAAAGTTGTAAGTGTACCCTTCACCCAGAAAGTATGTGATATACCTAGTAGGTATGAATTTAGCCATCCCCCCTCCCCACTTACTTGCTTTCCATTGAATTCTGCTTTCATATGGGCACATAAACGTTGATTAGCTAGTTCCAATTTAGTATTAAGTACATATGTTTGTTTTTCCATTCTGGTGATACTTCATTAGGAGAATGGTCTCCAATTCCATCCAGGTTGTTACAAAAGATACCAGGTCACTATTTTTTTTATGGCTGAGTAGTAGTCTATGGCATACATATACCACATTTTATTAATCCATTTGTGTATTGATGGGTACTTGAATTGTTTTCACATTTTTCTTCTAGACATTTTATAATGTTAGCTTTATGTCTGGGTCTATGATCTATTTCATGCTAACCTTTGTTTTTAGTAGGAGGTAAGGGTCAAGTTCATTTATTTTGTTTATATTGATATCTAGTTGTTCTTGCACCATTGTTCAAAGTCTACCCTTCCCTTACCGTGGCAATTCTGTCGAAATTAATCAACCACACATAGTTGGTTCTATTTCAGAACTCACTATGCTGTACCACTGATCTTTATGTTAATCCTTTTGCCAAAAGCATACTGTCCTAAATACTGTAGCTTTATGGTAGGCTTAAAATTAGGTCGTTTAAGTCCTTCAAATTTATTCTTCTTCTTCAACATGACTTTAGTTATTTTAGGTCTTTTGCTTTTCCATAAACATTTTATAATCAGCTGACCAATTTCTACAGAAAAGCTGGGTTTTGATTGCAATTGTGCTAAATCTATATACAATTTGGGGAGACTCTGTAGATTAATTTTAACAACATTGAGACTCTCAGTCAAGGAATATATAATATCCTTCTTTAATCTCACTTAATTTTTTTTTTCTTTTGAGACGGAGTCTCATTCTGTTGCCCTGGGTACAATGCTGTGGCATCATAGCTGACAACCTCTAACTCCTGGGTTTGAGCAATCTTCTTGCCTCATTTTTTCTATTTTTAGTAGAGATGGGGTCTCACTCTTGCTCAGGCTGGTCTTTAACTCCTGAGCTCAATCCATCCACCTGCCTTGGCCTCCAATAGTGTTAGGATTACAGGCATGAGCCACTGTGCCCAGCCTTGATTATGTTTTATGCTTTTTTTCATACATGTATTACATACATTTTATTAAATATATCCCTAAATGTTTCATGTTTTTTGACAGTAAAGTAAGTGGTATTTTTATAAATTCAACATCTAAATGTTCATTCCAGCATATACAAATACAATTCCTTATAAATATTAACTTTGTATCTTAAAACTGGGCTGATGTCACTGATTAGTTTTAGCAGCTTTTTATTAGATTCTTTAGAATTTTCTATGTGTACAATTATGGGGTTTTGGATTTTCTTTTTAAAGTAGGAATTACTTTACTTCTTCTCTTCCAACATATATTTTATTGTGATTATATATTTTATTTTTCTTGCTTTTTTTTTTTCAGACACCACTTTTATTTTATTTTTGCAGTTTTTAAACCCACCACCTCTGGTAAATGGGGCTGGTGCCCTAATCCTTTGAGCTACGGGCACCACCCTCTTTTTCTTGCCTTATGGCATTGACTAGTACCTTCTGTACGATGTTGAATCAAAGTAGTAAGAGGGTCTTGACTTGCTCCCAGTTTTAGTGTGACAGCATTCAACTCCACCAGGAAGTATGACATTAGCCCGAAGTTATTCATAGATATTTTCTATCGAGTTGAAGAATTTCCTTCTATTTCTAGTTTGCCAAGAGATTTTAATCATGCATGAGTATTGAATTTTGTCAATATTTTTCAGAATTTGTTGAAATAATCATGTGGCTTTTATTACTTATTCTGTTCAATGTTGTGAATAATATTGATTGATTTTCAAATGTTAAACCAACTTTGAATTCCTGGGATAAATGTAGTTGATCATTTTATTCATTGTTGGATTCGGTTTGCTAAAGTGTAAGGGATTTTTACCTCTCTGTTTATAAGAGATCTTGTGCTGTTCCTTCTCCTCTCCCTCCTCATTCCCTTCTTTCTTTCCTTTTGTCTTTTTTCTTGTATTGTCTTCATGTAGTTTTGGTGTCATGACAATGGTGACCCCACAAAATGAGTTGGGAAATTCTTCCCCCTCGTGGAAAGAGCTTCTTTAATATCAGTGTTATTTCTTCCTTAAATATTTGATAAAATTTACCATGGAAATCATCTGAGTCTGAAGTTTTATTTGTGTAAAACGTTTAATTACAAATCTAATTCTTTAATAGATACAGGAGTATTCAAATTTTCTATGTCTTCTTTAGTTAGTTTTGGTAATTTCTGTCTTTCAAGAAATTTTTTTCATTGGCTCGGAATTGTCAATCTTATTGGCACAAAGTTGCTTATAACATCTCCTTATTGGACAGACTCTGACAGGATCCTTAGCTGCAAAAAGGAGGTGGCACCCATGGAGCTGGGTGAGCTGTTGTATAAGTCCTGAGTACACTGAGACAGCATCTGGGAACAAAGTTAGCCACCAGTCAGTATTGTGTGGGAGCCAAATCGTTCTTAATGTCAAGACCATTGTGATGAATGACTGTATTATCTGAGGGGGATCTGGCAAACTTAAGAGTTAGATGTCACTGTATTGTGAAGAGTCATAGCATCATAAGGCCACCATTCAGGAAATTCAGCAAATGGGGTGCCCGTGTGTGTTAAAAGACAACACAGTATGACCTCCAGAAACTGTGGTTCCACCATTCACTGTCTTCTCAGGATGCCGGGCTCTCCTCAGGGGAGCTCCCGGAATGTCCTCAGGAGCTGATGATTGATGTCCCCAAGAGCTACTACCACAAGTCTAGAGTCATTGTCTTTTGTCTTGGATCTGCTTGAGCTCTAAGATGATCTTGGGGACAAAGTGAGCCAGTCAGAATCTACAAAGAACTCTTGTGTCTTTGACACATTCCACCCTTCTTACAAAAACATTCTTGTGAATTTCTCAATCCTTCAAGGCTTTACTTTCTTTAGAATTTAATAATGGGACTGGAGGAGTTGTCTTCAGATGCTGTGCTTATACCTTATCTATTAACAGTCACTTCATACTATTATCTGTGGAACACAGAGTCATCTGTTTGCAATACTCCAACCCCCTGGTCCTGTGCACGGCCAGATCCTGTCTGAAACAGACCTACAGAGCAGCAGCGGCGCCCTCCCCGCCTGGAGGTTAGGTAGCTGCAGCGCTGCTCATGGTAATGCACTGCCCACGCTGAGCCCCACTCACACAGATAATGCTCAGCACTCCTCAGGCTAACACATTTGGCTGGTTGCTACAATTGCTCATAATCCTGGGGAAAAAGTATTTGTGACTTTTCAGTGCCTAGATGTCTATTGATTATTAAAACTTGAAGCAAGGGGTAAAAAAAAAAAAAAAATCTTAGTATCCCATTAGAATCTATAGAGATGCCTCTTTTGAAGCCACAATATTGGTAATTGTGTCTTCTTTCATTTTATTTATTTATCTATTTTTGAGATAAAGTCTCACTTTGTTGTCTTTGGTAGAGTGTTATGATGTCACAGCTCACAGCAACCTCTTGCCTAAGCCTCCCGAGTAGGTGGGACCACAGGTGCCCGCCACAACACTGGGGTTCTTGCTCTTGCTTGGGCTGATCTTGAACTCCTGAGTTCAGGCAATCCACCCACCTGGGCCTCCCGGAGTGCTGGAATTACAGGTGTGAGCCACCACACCCGGCTTTATTTTATTCTTGATCAGTTTGGTTAGAGATGTATTATTTTCCAAAAAACATATCTTGTAGTTTTATTGATTTACTTCACTGAGTTTTGCTCTTTAAAAAAATTTTTTTTTCATGTTCCCCCATGCAGAATACAGACCAGGCATGGGGCCTGGGCTGGGGTGTAGCGGGGTATGTTTACTCTGTCTCCTCTTTCTATAGTCAGTGTAAGAACACAGCCTGTGGTAAGCATCAGGAGGTGAGTTTTGCTCTTTTAGTTCATTGATTGCTGTTCAATAATATTTCTTCCCTTCTCTTTCCTTTGGAGTTCTTTTCTTTTCTCTCTCTCTCTCTCTCTCTTTTTTTTTTAATTGAATGGTAACTATGTACATTAATGCACTTCTGGGGTACAGTGTGGAGTTTTCAGTTATTTTCTCTTTTTCAAGATTTTTTAGGTGGAAGCTTATATCATTGATTTTAAACATACCTTTGTTTCTAATATAAACATGTAAAAGTATAAATGTCCCTTTAAGCACGCTCGTATCTGCATCTCACTCATTTTAACATATTGTTCTTTCATTTAGGTCAAAATCTTATCTGACTTGTCCCTTGATTTCTTCTTGGACCCACGTGTTACTTAGAATTATTTATTTAATTTCCAAATATTTAGAGATTTTCAAAATACCTTTCTGTTACTGATTTCAAATTTAATTCTGTTGTGGTCAGAGATCATCCTCTGCATGATTTGGGTCTTTTAAAATTAGCCAAGACTTTTTTATGGCCCCACATATGGTCTGTCTTAGTGAATGCTCCACGTGCACTTGGAAAATGTGTATTCTGCTGTTGGCGGGTGAAGTGTTCTTTAAATGTCAACTCAGTCCGGTTGGTTGATAGCGTTGCTCAGGTCTTACCCATCCACCACTCATTGTTCAAATCATTTTCATTATTTTTTATTACATGAGAAGTAACATGCATATTATGAGAAAAATCAGATGATTCAGATGTAATAAGGTATTTGATAAGGCAGAGATTAATTAGTTTTTTTTAATCAAGAGAGGCAGGATCACAAAATCATCTTGAAGCAGATGTTTTAGTTAACTGCGAATATTTTGAATGGCCCTTTTAATCAGGCTTTTAATCAGAAGGTAGGGCTAGAGGGCTTCAATCTTTGGGGTTTAGATCTCTTACAAATTGAATAGTAGAGGTAACTACTTATATAACAAACTTGTCGGAGATAGTATGGTGTTCTTCCTGATTCAGAAGGCCATTCAGAGCCTTCCTCAATTAACTAAGGGATTTGCTGTAGTTGCAGAGTGGATAAGGCGGTTCTCCTCAAGGGCCCAGGGCAGGAAAGGGCCACGAGACCACCCAATAAAACGATCTTATGGAGGAGTGTGCCTAGGCACGTGAGCTAGAGTGGCTTCAGGGGCAGGCCTGGTTTTGAGACCACTGATTGGGCAAGTGAACAGGTCTTATCTTCACTGGATGTAGTCTGGTTTACAAGTAGGCTACTATGTGTATGCATGGATAAAACAGTCACAAACTGACTCATGGAATCTAAAACCCCCATCTTCTATAGAAACAAAATCTCTATGTTGGGAGGGAGGGATGCCTCAGAAAGCTGCCCAGCAGGGCAGGCAGCAGCCACCACAGGCCAGCCTTTTGTTGAGAGCTTTTTTCAAGCCTGGTACTGAACAGGCAGGTGAGTCATCTCTTACCACATCCAGGTGAAGGGGTCCCTATTGTTGTACCCATTTTAGCTATGAGGAGGTGGGAGCTCAAAGAGTCAAGGGAATTGCTTCCTGCAACACAATTAGAGTGGAGTCAGAATCTGACTCCCAGACAGCCCAACTACAAAGCTTCAAGCTGGAGAGGTGGCCCAATCATGGAGCCCCCTGAATGCCAGAGTAGTATGTTTGGGCTTTATTCTGAAGGCAGTGGGGGAGCCATGGAATATTTTTCAACAGGACAGGAGGTGGCTTGACCAGGACGATCCCTCTGGTGGCTGGTGGAGACTAGAGGGCGGTGGGTGGTTAGTTAGGAAGATGTTTAAGACAATCACAGATAAGCCAGAGTTGGCCCTGAGTGCTGGGGGTGAAAGTCTGATCAGGAAACTGGAGTGAAGTGGGGAGGCAGACTTTTCATTCTGTGTTAGAAATGTGTAGACAGGATTGAACGGGGAGGTGACTGGCAGGATCAGAGGCATGGTGTGTGGATGTGGGAGACTGGGGTGGGGCAGTGGATTCCTTTCCTCTTACTCCTGGGTAAAGCTGATCTCGGTGGGCCCATTTGTATATTTGCAGCCAGCTGTGGGTCAGCCAGGTGGTTCTGCTGATCCTGGCTGGGTTTCTTCACTTGTTGTGGCTGATGGGCAGTTGCTGGTCCAGATTGTCCTTAGCTTGGATGGCTTAGACAACCTGGTTCATTCTCCATGTACCTGTCTCTCCCTCACCAGCAGGCTTGCTGAGGTGAAGGCAGGAACGCAAAGGAGCAGGTAGAGTCCTAAAGCATGTTTTCGACTGTGCTTGGATCAAGTCTCCTAACATCCTGCTGCCAAAGCAAGACACATGGCCAAGGCCAGATTCAAGGATAGAAAATAGACTCTGCCTCCTTAGTGAGAAGAACCAACTTCAAGGTCACTGGGCAAAAGGTCTGGACACAGGGGAAGGAGAAAATTTGCGGTATCTTCATCTCTACCCCCTTTTTCTACTTAGTGCCTTCTCCTTTTCTGCTACCTTCTGTTTCCATGACCATTCCAGGGGCAACAGTCGTCCTCCGGTTCTTTTCAATCACAGCTCTGCTTTGCTTCTTTGGACCATGTCTGTTGGAGCAAACAAAGGAAACAAACCATGTCTGTTGCAGCAAATATTTGTGTATCAGCCAACAAACTCTCATGGCCGTGTTCTGGAAGAAAGAGGAAGGATGCTGTGCTTCTGAGTGGTCAGTACCCTCTCCCTATATTGCTGCACTCAGAAATAGGGCCTATAGAAATCAGCTCCCATGCCAGCCTGTCTTCTGAGGCACCCTAGGACCCTGAGGCTGCCCTTTCCATTAGGGGTGACGTTCTCAAGGCTTGCTGACCTAGAGGGCATGCCCTTGCTGGAAAGTTACACTGCCCTGGTTAGAGAAGTTTGGGCCATTCTGCCCCAGGGGATGTACAAGGTCTTGCTCCACTGCCCTTTGTTCTTAAATAGATTAACCACCCTGCTGAGGGAAGACCTCTAGGGTATCAGAACTCTGGTCTTAAACCCCAAAGCTCAATGGGGCATGACAAGAAGGGCCTTGGACCCCAGTCACGCCTCCTAGCTCTGCTCCACCCACCTAGTCCCAATGAAGTTCTAGCTCCATCCCCCTCTGTTGCAGCTATAGGGGCATCTAGAGACCTGCCCAGATCACCATGTGGCTCCATGCATTGGTAGTGAGGTATCCAACTGGGACTTTCCATCCTCCCCATGCTAATGTCTGTAATAGTAGTAGTAATAATAACAATGTTAACAGCAACTACCAGTTACTTAGTGTGTACCACATGCAAGACATGGTGCACTTAATGCTTAATGATGTGACTTGGTGACATCATCATCCCATTTTATAGAAGAGGAACCAAAGAGAGCAAGGCGTGTGTGTGAAGTCACACCACCAAGAGGTGGCAGAGTGAGGATTCAAACTCAGGGCTGTCTGAAGCCATCACCCTCTAGCACCACCAAGCATTGCAGCAGCAGCCTGGCCACACCTCCACACCTCCCTCCCTGCTCCTGCAGGATCTGCGCTTGTACAAACCACTCCAGGCCGAGAGCAGGCCTGGCTGCTAGTGCCTGGCTGGGAGAGCCATGTGTGAGCTACAAGTGTTGCCCTGCCAGGGGCCTTTGTCTCCCCCATAATGGGACCCAGCAGTCTCTCCAGGCCCCTGAGAGCCTACGAGGCTGTGGGCCAAGTCCTTGGCAGAGCAGCTGGCTGGGGACACTGAGTGGAAGCTGATGTGCCCTGGCGCCTCTGGCCCGGTGCCCAGAAGAGCCTCTCCATCTGGAGCCCTCAGGCTTGGGGAGGATACTCCATTGTTAGAGCTGTGTTGGGGCTGAACTCAGATGGCACTGCCTTGAACCAGAATATTTTAATCTGTTTGGTTTAAGAAAGAAATCAAGCCTTTATTTTTGTTGTGTATGCGAGAGCTGGCTCAGGCCAATGGTAGTTAGGATTGACACCCAACCTCTGATACAACTTACGGATGGGGAATCTGAGGCCCAGGGAGGGGCAGGGACTTACCGGAGGTCACTTAGTACTTTGTGAACCAGGACACACTATACCAGTTAGGGTATTACAACTGGGGAAGACCTGGGTAGGGTCCTCATTCTTCCCTTGGCAAGGTACATCTTGTCTGGCCTGAATGTGGACCTTAGAGCCATGAGGATTTCTGGAAAAGAAACTCCCACCATTCTAGGAAGAGGAAAGACAGTGAGGGTCCACCTGTTGAGTCAGTTAACTCCTACCCCAAACCAAAGGCTCCTTCCCCATTTACTGGTGAAGGTGACCTCTTGAGGGATGAGAGAAATCTGCTTTTCTATAGTCATCCTGCTTGTGGGCTCTTTTGGAAGAGAGACAGATCCAAACTGGGATTGGGAGCCCTGGATCCAAGTCCTGAATCTGCCTCTGACATACTTTGCGACTGTGGGCAAGCTGCTTCTGCTCTACAGGCCTTTGTTTTTCTGTCTGGAATATGGGGATAATAGTATCCTAAGGTCTAGGACAGCAGAAAATATACTTTGAAAGTCTTACAGCTTGTCTATTTCTTGAGGGTGTCCAAAGCCCTTTGGGGTAGGAAGAGCAATATTCTCACTGCCTGGAAGGGAATGAACAGCTCAGAGAGGTGAAGTGACTTATTTAAAGACACACAGCATCCATGGATCAATGCTGTGAGGATGGATGGAGGTTTCCTGATTTCGAGCTCTGTGGTCATCTCCTCCCTGGGAGACCCATGGTTCTCTGCCTGACTCCACTGGGATGGCAGACATGGCTTCAGCCTTGGGGTCCTCCACCACCCCTCTTGGAGGAGCCAAAAGTGAGGGCAAGGGTGAAAGCATTGAAACTTGCTTTGCCTGCCTATTGGAACGGGCTTCTGAGGTTTGACACAATTCCTGGCCTGTTGGATGCCTGCTACACACCTGGTAGAGAGTGAGGCCCAGCAGCCTGGCTTGGATGGCTCCCTGATGGGAAGCTCACTGCTTCCTCAGGCAGCTTGTCTCACCCCAGGTTAGCACTGACCAACCG